ATGAGTTTCTAGAAGGATCACGACTTTTTTTGGCAACTCTAGTCTTTTCCAGGTGCCCTCTATTTTAGTATATAATCCTGGCAAATAAAGCAGAGATATAATTGCAGATAGACAGATAATTGAGTCAAGTGACCTGTAAGTAAAGTGCATGAATCGTTGTGAATTATAGCGTGTGTTTAAGTTAAAGTGACTGTGGAAATTCTGTGTATTGCAAAGTTGTATTGAGAAAGAATAAACTAGTTTTATTTAAGAAAGGACTTGTATCGCTGAAGTTCCTCGGGAAGAAATTATACCGGAAATTAACAAACGACCAGAGATGTAACATAACAATCAAAACTTTAAATATTAGTCCTAGTGGTTTATAGTTCTCTGCCAGTTTTTGGTATTCAAAACCACAACTTTAAAATTTAATTTTTCATTGGCGACGCTTTGTCTTTGCACCTAAAAAATCCTGTAATTGGCACTAGTTTTAAAATACATTGTTTTTGAATGTCAGGCAAGTTCAGTGAATGAGCATGCAGCTTATTTATCATGTACGTTTCCTACTTACCAGTGTAATGGTAATGTTGTGGTTAGAGATTATTTTTAAACATCCCATTTTAAGAACATTCTGCTTGAAAAGGCAGTCATACTTGGTGTTATTTGTAATGTAGTAGTAAAACCTTTTCTTATCAAATGTTTTGTAATATTCTTGATTTCTTTGTATACAGATATTATAAGAAATTGAAATCTTAAAAGCACAAAATATTGATATTTATTATTGTTTTAAATACTGGCATGAAATTGTCAAAATTAAAAGAAATAAAACCTTTTTTGGTACATTTTGCATTTAATTTTGGTAGTTTTATATAGTAAAATAATTCGGTCATTTTAATTGTTGAGAAAGTTAGACTCATGCTGGAGCTTTTTAAGAGAACATGTATCAGAATAACTGGAATAGTATAGTGGTTTTCTTTTGAAATTTCAAAATATTGCATTGTTTTTTTTTTTTTATAAATTTGATATGTAACTTAATGTTATAAATTTGAATGATATTTGTCATTGTTTTGGGAAGTGTGTCTTTTCTGATCGTCATTAAAAGATGTTATTTGCCATACCCTAAAAGTTGTGAGAGGATTTAAGTTAGGAAAAAGGTTCAAACAGAAGATCAGAGTTTAATTGCTTAATTTATATTTAAGAGTTAGTAAATAATTTTGCTGTTTTTTTCCTTGCTATTGAGTTCAACGATATGTATATAGACTTAGCTTTACGTGTTTACTTCATAATTTCATTAGGCCTAGTTCGTAAGTGTGAATGTGTTGCAATGAATAAATTACTCACTTTTGATACTGTAAAGAAAGATGAACTATTGAATTTAGGAACCACTATTGAAATAAGCTTACAGTATTTGAACCAGTAAATAATAAACATCCAGCTTGTTGTATAAAATAATTTGTGAGTCATCTGTCAATTAGGTAAGAATCCACTGAAAACCCCCTACTTAACAGTATATTTTATTTTAGGTGAGCACTCCAGTAAGACCAGTAAACCTAAAACGCAAGAAGTAATGCTATTCTTTATACTGGAAGAATATGTGAGGTATGTTGGCTCTTCACTGATAAAGCCAGATGAAATAATAATTATATTTTATTAGTAGCAAATTAGAAAATAAAGCTAGAAAAAAAAAACATGTTGTTTAAAATTACCTGACTGTGATTCATAAGTTCTGGAAAACTTGAGATATTTACACTTTTATCAGACACATATCTTAATTGAGTAAATTTCTGGGAAACTGGCTCTGGTTATTATGTTGGAATTTTACATGAAATAATGTGTTAATAATTGGATCTTTTAAGAATCTAAAATACTAAATTATCCACTTGTGGTGTTGAAAATAACATAAAAAAATCACACTTTACTGCCAATGTTTTACTTTGTTTTATTAAAAAAACTCCTTAAGCAACAAGTACACTTTAGAATATATAATTTTCCCCACTAATTCAGATCATTCAGCCTGACATTATGACAAAATGTTTACTCTTATAAAGTCTTAATTACCAAAAAAATTAAGGTATTGTAGTAATGTTTTAAGTGATCATATAAAGCACTGTTGATTGGTTGGATCCATTAAATATCAACATCTGCATTATTGCTAGTTCTGAGCATTTGTTAACTGTCAATCAGTGTTACCTACATTAAGCATGTTTTTTTTATCAGTAATGGTAATCTATGACTCAGGGCTAAACATTTTGTTTCAGTGAGATTAATAATCAAGTTATTACTTTACACATTTTGTGTGTGTGTGATAAAGTTGTATTGTTTCAGTGATTACCGCTAATTCTTTTTTTAATTATTGTATGTTGTTATTAACTTTTAAACTGTTCATTAGGAATTTCCTAGTACCAGTAAATTAAAAATAACTTTTTCTAATAGATAGATTACTTGTAACATTGTAAGTACTACTGTATTGAATTTAAAGAATTTTTAGTGAAACCAGTAATGCTGTCAATATCAATAAGTTAGAAATACCTATTCAACTGAACTCTGTTTTTTTTCTGTTTTCTTTGTAGTTTACCTGACTTGAAGAGCTTAAGTGAAAGTCTTTTTTTTAATCATAAAGAGTAATAATGTGAGTTAACTTAAAATCTGCACCATTTGAATAATTGTTGTAATAATTAAAACCAGTGTTCCCTAGGCATTAAAGTAGGCTCATTTTTGATACAAAAAAATTTCAATTTCTCAAGTTCCATAGGTCTCTTATAAACTATTAATAAGTAACAGAATAATTTTTGTAATTAAGTTACGTACTTTGTATTGAAATTTAATTCCAATAAAATTATGCAGTGTTTAGATCAAACATTTAGAAAAAAAAAATGTAAAAGTGTGTTAAATGTTTTAAAAGCAGAGCATTAGTGGAATATGTTTTTAAGAAATTTGAGAACAGGTGTTTTTGTTTAAGCATATTAAACACTTGAGTATAGGCGAAGAAATGCTTACGATACTAAAGTAGAGGTTATCAAGCAAACATATTGAGCCATTTAGACTGTTTTGGGAAAAACGACAAGAAAAACGATTGAGGAAATTTTGGCAATTTCTGGGAAACGCTGGCTCTAGTTGACAACCTATTCCTGTTTCGTTCTGTTTAATTTTTACTCTTCCATTTGAAGTTGTTGACTGTCTCATAAGTTATCAGTTAAATTATGTTTCACCTGTATAATTCACAAAGGAACATATATTTAGCAATAAAAGTCTTTAATTGTAATTGTTGTCATCTTTGGAAATACTTCATATAACTAGTGATTCCATCTTAGGCTTGAGTAATAGAGGACAGATGTTTATCTTCTCTATCTATTGGCAGTATACTACACTCAAGCTGCAGCAATAGAATACAGTAATTGGATCAAGTTTTACAGAGAACAACAAAATTCAAAGTTAGGATATTTAGAAAAACCTATGCTTAATAACCTTCATTTAACCTCAAAATAAATATAATATTAATTGATATCTCTTGTCTCATTTGTGGTAAAAACGATTAGTACTTTTAATTTTGAAGTCCAAAAATGCTTGTCACAAAACTAATATGAATGTTGGAATTTTGTTAATATTTGGGCCTTTTAAATATTTTAAATAGTAAGTCATCTACTGATGATATTCAAAAAAATAAAACCACACTTTGCTGCCTGTGTTTTACTATTTATTAACAAACTCCTCAAGCAATGAATACACTTTTCCAGAATCTAATTTTCCTAACTAATTCAGATTATTCAACACAACATTTTGACAAAAGGTTTACTCTTATAAAGTCTTTGTTAACAAAAAATTAAACTTGTAGTAATGCTTTAAGTGGTCACTTTCTAGTACAACCGTTTACACAATTGATGTGATACTGAACGATAGTGTGTGTGTGTGTAAAAATATTTAAACATTTATCCTGTAAATGCAATTTGAATAAAACAATCCAACCTACGGTATAGGCTAACAATCTTAACTAATTATCCATTTCTGTTCATAGGGTTAGGTTTGTGGCAGTTAGTCATTTAAACTATTACAAGTATTTTCTAATTATCTTAATAATTATGAACAGACTCGTATATAACAAGCACCAAACAAATTTTATTGTACAACTAGCAGCTTCAGAGTTATCTTTAAGATTTTGTATCTTAAGTAACAAGAAAATGTAAGTTAATATTTCTAATGCTTAATGTTAAAGGTAATGAAAGGACTACATTATACAGGTGTGACTGAGAATGGAAACTTTCTTGTAGAGATAATCGATATTTGAATAAACTGGTGATAAAACTCAGTTTGCATTTCTAGTTTAAAAAAAAAAAAGACAAATTTGTAGATGGGATGTTACTAAAAATAATAATCACAGTTTGTCTAATACTTTGCTATTCAAATTATTTCAATGTCAGCCATTAGTCACTTTTATTTATTTGTTTGGTACATGATGGTAAGCTTGGTTAGAACTTATATGGCAGTTTCTGTGTATGTAACTAAAACAACAGCAACAAATAAACATTTACACCAAATCTCACAATGTACTATTCTACGTAACATATTTGAAATCCACACTGTAATAAGTGTAATGTTTTGTGACTTGATTTAAGAATACATTATAAACTGTATAAATCTGAATTAATTTTATCAAACTACACAACATGAAACTAGCTTAAAAAGCACACACAAATTTATAAGATTGCTAACAATATTCCTATGTATGATTTTGTACATGCATACCCAGACAAATCAATTTCACTCTTTACTATAACCTAAGTTTAGATCAGACAAATTACAATTGAAGTGGTCAATTTTGAGCAGTAATATTTATAATCTAGATTGTTTTTTTAAGTTTAATTATAATGATGCAGAGTAATGTTTTCTGTAACAGAGTGTCTAAACTATGTTAGAAAATAAAATATTTCTCCCATTATATATAGAATTACTACTTGAATTCTGAATAAAGCAACTTACCCCTTCTCCACCCATATATATATATACACACACATACATAACTGTGTTGGTTATAGAGAAATCAGTGGCTGTTAATTAATCATTAAATATTGTAAAAGCTAACTCATGTTTGGTGTAATGTTCTGACTGTAACTTGCTTTGGGCATGTTGTAAAAGTAACTTTTAACCCACTGTTTGGTTTATAGTAGCCATATTGATGGCAGTAGTTGGTAACCGATTGCTCTTGCTGTGGTTAGAAGTTCTACATTAGGGATGGCTATGTCTGAACCTTGGGTCTCTGACCTGTAATTTGGCTCATTTATTAAAAATACCAAATACTACAGTATATAACACAGTCTTTGCAACAAACTTGTAATACGTCAGCATTGGGATCTACTTGGACCTCTGGTGAGGTTTAGAGAATGGAGTAAATATTACAGCTTAAAACAACTATTGTCTAAGTGTATTTTTTAATGATTATGTTTTTTTAAACTTGGAAAACATTGTTCTGCCATATTAATCATGCCATATATTATGTACATTCACACATATGGATTAGTAAGAAATACCAACATTAATGACAACAGAACAGAATTTTTATATATTAGTAAGTAACAAATGCCAACAGCAGTAACAACAAATAAGTATTTCTTTATTCTTTTCCTCTTCTGTGAGGCAACGCTAATAGTATTAAACACGTAATTTGTTTGTGCCAAGTTGAAACATATAACACTATTTAAATTATTAACTGGATGTATCACGAATGTTTGAAGCAAAAATAAAAACAGTTTAGGAAGGAAACCTTTTTGAGAATTGTAATAATTGCCTTAATATTGTGTCTATGCACTAGCATGGGGTCAGAAATGATTCTTTTTTTCTCCACTACTTGTATAGTATGGTATCAACAAGTCTTCTTTCTTCAGGGAACAGATTACTTCTGCAAGTAAAAATTTATCAAAGTGTATATCGTTGACTTTTTAATCTGTAAGCCACACCTAATTAACTAGTATTACAAAGTCTGAATAACATAACACTTAAAAATGCACACACAGAGGAAGCTTTGAATATGTTAAGGTGGATAGTTTAAATATTAAACCTTGCTATGACCCACACCGATGCTTCAGTATTTTGTTAGAATTCACCATACTGGTCTTCAGGAAATTACATCTCATAAATCTAGTGTTATGTAAATAAAAAAACTATATTAATGAGGATATTAGTGTTTTCAAGGTTTATGAAGGAACATTCTATTGTTCTAACGTTTTTGGAGTGAATGGGAAGCATATGATAAATATTCAAAGACTTACTTTGGATCATATTAAAATACTTCTTATATGAGAAGATCAAACTTGTTACAAATTGTTAGAACTTCAAGATAAAAGTAAAGAAGAATGTATGATAATATGTCAACAGTACTATATCTGCTTTATCCAGTTCCGATGAGACTTTTCACCCAATTACCAGGGGCTCATAAAGCCAGTGGGATACAACAGACACGGTGGAGGTTGAGAAGCTATTGCGTAAATAACAGTTATGGTGTGAACTAGATCATCTTGGTGAAGTGTAATCTTTATCAGTTATGTATGAATCATTTACAAATCAGGATTAGGGTAAGGATAAATAACAAAATATTTCAGCTTTCAGTTGAAATAATCTATTCTCTATATTAATTGTCTTAAGAGTATATCACAACAGCCTTTAGTCCTATGAAGAAGAAAAAATTTATATTAATGCTCAAAAAGTATACGAAAATCACTGCTATCATTTCAACTGCTAGAGGGATCATATTTGTTTTAAATTTAAAGTTGATTACATTCTTATCTGGGTCAGCATCAATTTTGTGTTCAAAATCTTACTATAATTAGTGTTATTGTGTTCCAGATTTCATTAATATTAAAAGATGTATGATTCAACAACTTAATGTTCTAACCTTTCTTGGGAATTATTTCACTGCTTAGGGAATTATCTTTTGCTATATAAACTTGTTTAATACAATATTTAAATGGAAGAGCAGAAAGAATAGAAAGCTCTTTTATTTTCTTATAATTTCATTCTTTGAATCAAAGCTAAACTTTCATATATATATACTAAATGAAACTTAAAACTACTCCACTCGGAAATCTTAGTTTTGATTATAAGTTATAAAATATAGTGTGAAATCAGTAATAATTTCAAAGCATAGAAAGAAGCTTACTAAATTCTTTCCACATAATTTCCTGGAAAGGTTCCAAATAATCCTGTCCTTAACGAAGTTCCAACATACCAGCCATCATCGCACTTTTCCATTACATAGATGATATCTCCATGAATTATCTCCAGTTCATCTTCATGTTGAGGTCTATAGCTGTAAAGACCTCGATACCTATCCATAATAAGAAATTATAATAGACAAACTGATTGAAACTGACAATGAGTTAATGTGTGTACAGGTATCCCTCGATTTACGAAAGGAATACGTTCTTCAAGAACGTAATGTATAACAAGAAACGTAAATCGAAAATGCTTTTCCCATTATTTTAAAGGTAAAAAAATTATGTAGTAGTGAAAAATAGCTTAGTAACTAAAGGTATTTCAATATTATAACAGAGAAAAGTAACTTTTAGCAATTTGAATTTTGTAATAGTGAAAAATTGTTCCGTGAGGGGCAAAAATTTTCTTATGACTTTTATGTAAATTTTTCTAACAAAAAATGTGAATGCAAATCGAAAAACATGTCCATAAAAGTTAATTACATTATAGTGAAAAAATGTAAACCGAATGTTTGTAATTCGAGGAACACCTGTACTTTTTAAGTCACTAAATTAAAGTTAGATTTTGTTATTCATTAGTGTTACTATCTGATGATCTGACCAAAGACAAGTGTTAATGTGCATGTAATGTCAGATTTCTCCACTTTCCTCTGATATAAAATTAATTTCATTATGACACTTGACGACTGAAAATCAACACTAAGACGAAGATTTCTGCTTTCAAAGAAATCAGATAGCAAACTTAAATTGTATACTTGACCTATCACATTTCTTATATTAAAAACTATTGTTACGACAGCGGAAGTCACGTGACGCTAGTAACACGTGAGGAGTATCTAGAAGATTCACGAAGAGATGAGTGTAATCTAGATGTACGCTTTTATTGTATATATAAGTCGGCAAATAAAGTGACGGCAAGAATAGAATGGCAGACAGGCAGAGACGGACAATTGAGTCAAGCACGGTAGTGACCGTAAGTAAAGTGCGTGAATCATTGTGAATTATAGCGTGTGTTTAAGTAAAAGTGACAGTGGAAATTAAGTGTATTGCAAAGTTGAGTTGAGAAAGAATAAACTAATTTTATTTAAGAAAGGATTTATATCGCTGAAGTTTCTCGGAAAGAATTTCTATGGAAAATTAACAAACGAACGACCAGAGACGTAACACTATATTATTTAAAAAAAATTATTACCATAGATCAGGACAAAAAAAAGAAGATAATTCAAGATTTGTAGAATTAGACCCATTGAAATTTATTAAGATATCTATGTGCTATAATTTTAAATATTTTAAGGAGCTTATTTTGAAGTCATTGTTTTCTCTTAAATTAAAAAAAAATGTGGTAAGTGCTCTATTTTGTTTTTAAAAAGAACTGTATGATATAATTTGATTATCTGATGTCGTTTATAATAAAAAAAATATATTACTTACGGTATGGGCTCATCGAAAGTGTTAATGTGCAGACTTTCCATCACAGGTTGATTGGTTTGGCTATGTGAAGGAGGACTTAATGATGAGAGTTCATGTTTCTGAAAGAGATAAATCTATTGCAAGTTTCATCACAGATTTTAAGATGTGTTCAATAAGTATTTTGCACAACATTCATTTG